CGCCGCCAAGGTGGCCCGCGCAGCGCGCCGCCAGCGCCGAGACCGCGGGGGCGGGGGGCGGGGTCCGCGGGACGCCACGCGAGCGGCCGCAAAGCAGGTACCGCAGCGGCTCGGCGCGGCGCGGCGGGCGCGGTCGGTGCGGTGACGGAGCGACGGCTGGCCGCCTGGCAGCGGCGCGGGCGCGGCGCGGCGCGGCAGGGAGCGGCTGGGCCGAGGGGGGCCGGGCGGAAAAACCCCGCTGCGCGCGCGGTACGCACGCTGGGCCTGGCGCGGCGCGGCCGCGGTGCCGGCACGGCTCGGCACGGCCACGGCACAGCCGCCGCTGCGGTGCGCGGCGGCGCAACGGCCAATGAAGCAGGCCGAGGCCACCGTCCGCGTCGTGCCGCGCCGTCCGCGCCGCGGCCGCCACCCGCCGCGTTCCCGCCGGCCCCGCAGCCGCCGCGTGCCGGCCTGCCGCCAGCCAGACGGCCAGCGTGCAGTTGACGCTCGAGTTGTTTGTTGCGACGGAACGAGAGCGTCGTGCGCGTTGGCGGAAATGAGGCGGGACGCCGGTGACGTTCAAACCAGCGCTGCGTTTTTCATCGCGATGGTGCGGGAGCGGCCGCGCTTTTGGGATGTGAGGAAGCCCCGCCTACAGAAGAGACAAGACCATCGATAACAAGCTCTGGCCAGAGATCGGGGGCATCATGCAGAAGACGGCTGAGTTGGTTGCGGTGGGCTCCGATACTTGAGATTAATAGAGATTATGATCATGTATTTTTAAGAAGGAGACTCCTTAACTCCCTGTTGGGCCATGCTAGGCTAATCAGACACACTTCCTATAGCGTCATCACCGGATGAAAAGAAGAACTTCACCAACACCGTCTACCACTTTATGGTTCGTAAGTTTACTGCCGATTTACATTAGTGGCCCTTCAAGGTCACGATCTGGAAGGAGATGGGGACCAACTCATCCAATCGGGAACTTCAATACCAAACTGTTAAGTCCTATCGAAGCTCCCAATTTTGAAGAATTGTCCGCTTCTCCTTCCAGTCGTGACCTGGAGGAACACTACGTTTTTAAATCGGGAGAAAAGGAGATAGAATGGGTTTGACTTGACATATAAGCTTGGTGGATCCCAAAAATGCCTTCAAACTTCGTCTCACGGACTCGTATGTCATTGAAGCTAAATGCCTCGTTTATATTCTAGGAGTTTTACATTGTGGCACTGCAAAGAGTATTGGCTGGACGCAGAGCGGAGACTCCGTTGATTCAATCCGTAGTCTTAAGATTTGTAGTATTGGAGCGTTCCCGATTTGGATGACAACGTCCCCTTCTCCTTCCAGCTCATTGACCTGCCATTACATTAAATTAATCAAGTAAAAATCGGGAGTATAGTTGCCGACGCTTTTAATATATTCCGAGTTCGGCCAAGGGACGTGTGTCTCCTTGCAGACTTTCATGATTACGAGTCATGTTTATACCATGGTGGGAGAATATTAAAGGAGTGAAGGCGTGCTATTGTTATTTCCAAAAAGCAAGTAGACTGCTGTGGAACGAAGGAAGGGGGAGATGGGGGCGTTGCCCCCTGAAACTTAGAGGAAAGCCCGTAACCTTGCGGGACCAAGCATTTATTTCCCGCAAATAAGCTCAGTCTGGTTTGCTCTTTTAAAGTGACCAATTACGGAAAATTATGTACTTTTGTGGAAGAGCTCTCAAGACAGCAGACAACTTTTTATTTATTTATTTTTACTTACGTCAAAAACCCAGTTAAAAAACTATGTGTGACGTGCTGAAGCGGGAGAAGTTAATTGAAGTGTACATTTATGTCTAGAAGTAAAAACAAGGGGCCATCACAGCATTGCTGTGATGGCAAATTGCTCGCAATCAGGGAAACTGGACGAAAAACTGATCGAGATGGGAGGGTCTTGACCCAGAAGCTGAAAGTACAATACTTGTTACATGTTCTTTAAAATTATACAATCCAAATGTATATGATACATTAAAGTTCATTGTTTAAAATTAATAATTACTTTCCTCTTGATCTCGGTAATAGTCTCTTATTGGTAAGAAACAGGTTGCTGCAGCAGAAAATATTTTACTGGGACTTAAACTTTTGTTACGAATTTAAAGTTTAATGTCATCTGGCAATGTGTTGTTAAAATAATGTACATGTATTATTGTGACTTTTTTGTAGTGAGCAGTTGATACTGTCACCTGATGAACATTGATTACTGACGTCGAGTGTTGTAGTTAAAGACAACGGCGTTTGCTGAAAATATATTCCAGCCATTGAGTAAGTCGATTTTTGACAAAAAACGCTGATTCATATATGAAGAGGACAAGGCAATGGTAAAATACCTAGATGATAAAGAGATGCTAACAGAATCACGTGGTGTGCGTTTACTTATTATTTCGACAATTCGTTTTTATAATCTAAAAATCTGGAACTATAAGATGTATTTCCTCAGAATATTATACCATAAACTCAGGCTGGGATGAACATTTCGCGAAATATTACACAACGAGCAGTGTGGAGGCTGACTGAATTTTGAAGAATTCTGAAAGCGGTAGCATAAAGAACTTAATTATAATGTTCAATTCATTTAAAGGGCGTTCCTTTTAAGGAGTTGACTGAATTGAAAGCCCTAAACATTTTGTACCTTATCAATCAGTCAATGGAACCCCGTGCATTTTCAGTGAAGGAAACACCAAGGATGCTTGTTCCATAGAACGCAACGCTATGAATAGGCAAATATTAAATCGGGGCGGGCTCTTCTTCTTGCTTTGCTTTTTGTATGACGCCAGTTGTGTCGCAAGCAATTAAGCACTCTGAATATTGGAAAATTCAGTCGGTATAGAGAGTTACTCGGGGTTCAGAGGAAGGGACTACTTAACAGGTCGGGAAACAAAATGAACGTCATGCAGGGCGATGACAGTGCAAGAAATAGTGATGAATCCATTTACAAATGAGCCACTGTAAACGAAAGTACTGGCAAAATGAGTAAACTTGCAGTTATATTCCAGTAGTGGCTAAGCAGTAACTGTCGAAAGCCCGTTTCCCTTCTTTACAGTAACTCTCTCTACACGCAGGATGAGAATAAGTGAATGAAACCATCATTTACACTTCCACTTTTTCGTCAAAATCGAAAATTCTTTCATTCTTTTCGGCTTTTTTTCTGAGTTACTTAGCCTCCCACAAACCACAACATTCACTCCCACAAGAATGAAGACTGCAAATCTTTCGTCAATTTATGCGGTGATATTCGAAATTAGTAATAATGATGAAGCGTAAAATTGGTTTAAAAAACTCAAAAAAAAGTCGCTCAGTAAAGAAATGCCATTTGATGGATTTAATGCAAAAATTTTATGTTGCGTGCAGTGTGGGCAAACACTTACGATATGAATGCACTTAAAAAATCGAGTGTAAAATAAATGAGAAGAAATCTTTCATTCAAATACTAAAGAAATTAATGGAGAAGTACCCGACTTTTCAAAGCAGGGGTGTCCAGAAGGGAGTGAGCCATCTAAGCATTCTGGCCAGGCTATGATGAAGGTGATACCGATTTTTTTTAAAATTAAAAATAAATAACGTATTGCTTCTAAAGTCAAATTAACCGCCATAAAGTTATTGTATTGCGTGGGAGAAATGAATTCTGTTTTGTTGCATTGGGGGAGGGGCCTTTATGTTTGAAATAAGGATGCCCCAGACCTCTTAGTTTCTCTGACGCCCTTGTTTTTAAGATTTAACTTGACTTCATTCTGCTTGCGATATGTGATGATGACAAAGCCTTTTCCATTTTTACAGAATGGTGTTTCCAGTGAAGACGAATTTGAGAGCAAAATGGAAAACACCTGAGAGATCATACAGCGAAGTGTGCAAGGATGACAACGGGTCTAATCAGCACGTGATTGGCAAAAAGCGCCTTGGCCTTTGTTGCCTACTTGGAGCTTCTGAGAGACTCCGTCACTCATCGGTCGTAAGTATATTCTTGTCAGCCAGATGTCACGACAATGCAGAATGCGCTTGATTCTGAGCTCCAATGTTTTGCTGTGATACAGTTCATAGTTTTCCCAAAAAATGATTCATAGTTTTTCCAGGAAAAGTTCTAGACAGTCTATCACCAGCAGGACCACAACAAATTTCAAAAATAAATCTGCCGAAACTTTTTATGTTTTTGTACTAAATAACTTTGTAACTAAATAATTTGTACAATTTCCAATGAAAACTTTGAAATATTATTGTTGTTCTTTTGTAATATTTGGTTTTACTTTTATTTGTTAGTATCTAGTAGATATAAAAATGCCATTGTTGAATTTGAATCAGACTTAAACGCGTCCAGCCAAAACCGAAAACAATCCCTGACATTTGCCATCTTTCGTTTCCTTCAGTTTCGGTTTCGTGAGCATCAAATTTTTTTGTTGAATCGTTGTGCTTACTTAAGGCATGCTGCCCAATAAGGCTGTCTCCAGGTGCACATTTACGGAAATTTCATATCATCGCAAGATTGTTTTATTATATTATTTATTATTATTATGATTATTATTATTATATATTATTATTATTATACTATTATACATGTAAACAAAAGCAAATTGCTGTAAGATAAATACTTTTAATTCTCTTATATAAATTATTTCTATTCAATTATTTGACATCACAAAAAAAATTAAAAAAAGTATTACTAGCTGTAGGGACACTCGAAATCAGACGCACAATTATAATAGTTGCCTTCAAACCTAAGAGAATATCTTCTCGTTTTCCGAGAAAAGTAACAATATATGTTAAGAAATTATTATTGATTTTATTTTTGGATAGGTTATTCATGTCGAAATGTAAAATAAAATTTGATTGCGTATATCATTTGTATAATTTTTGCTGTTTCACTCAATCCTTTTTTATCGATACTTTAGAAATAAGTATTTTTGGTTCAGTTTTTTATTTTTGTTTTTTTGTCAAATTTTGTTTTGTTTCTTAGGAGTTCCGACTGCAACGCAATAAAAATTATGTTCCATCTGAATTGTTAAGTACCTAGAAAAAAATTAATTGAACAAAGTTGAGAAAGCCAGGTATTTTTCAACTTATTTTCTAACATTGAAAAATATTTTATTTTCGTTTTCCTTTCTTACAGCATTCAGCCGCATTCTCTCCTTATGTCCACTTCGCTCACTCAGGTTAGCAATTTTCCTCCTTAATTTTTAGAATGATGTAAAATCAGTAAAAAACCTTTTGATGTTATGTTATACACTTCCGGAAATTTTCCTTCGTTATAGAACACGACGGTCCGCAGAGCTACGAAGGGGATACCAGAGTCACGATGGACACGAAGATTAAAACTGCAATGCACTTGGTTGACTCTGTTTCATAAATTTCTCGAAGTACGTTAATGTTGCAAGCTCAGTACAGTGCGGTAAGAGTGTAATAACCAGGCGCATTGATAACTGTACACTTCGGGTCTGTTGCTGTAGGTCACTTGCTGGACACGACTCCACTCAGGAAGAGAAGGACAACAGTTGCCAGTTGCCTGCGGTGCTGTTGCTCTTGGGCGAAGAAGTCCCCGACCCTTCCAGAATAAGCAGTACCGTTTTCGTTGATGTCGATAAAAATTGTCGTTTGTACCATTGTATCAATTGCCAGAAGCGTCCACCGTGAATAAGCCGATTCAATAGTGAAGAACGAAACTGAAAAAACTTAGTGTTTTAATACTTATGTGCATTAATTATTACATTATTCGATTACATATGTTCTGTTAAGATCTTCATATATTTTAGAGGACTTGTACGCTGGTTTCACATTTGAAAAATGACTAGGGTGTAAACAACAAACTTGAGCTTTTTCAGAGGCAGACCTTTCATTGCTAATTCTTATTTAATTTAATATTTTTTATTTATTTTCCCGGTCGCAAAAACTAATCAAAAAGTTTCGAAACATCGACGTTATACGGCAAATTACTTTAACTTTCGTAAATTATTTAAATAAGGTGTAGGTAGCTGTTTGGAATCGTTTTAAAATTGTACAGAAAAAACCGAAACAGAAATTCTCGTCATCAAAAAACCGAAGCCTAGACAGTAATATTTTATTAACCAAAAACAGGAAACATTGTTCGAAATGTTTTGATCCTTTGATTTGGATATGATGCAGGCTATAGACTCTCACTTGCGCTTGACTAACAAATTTTTTAATAAACTGTATAAAATATACATAAAGAATTTATTGTGAATAAAAAAACGAAATGTACAATTGCAAAGAATTTTCAGAAAAAACATTATATTATCACGTTAAATTTTAGAGTAGTTTCATAGTATAATAATTATTTAAAAAGAAGTTGAAGTCTAGGAGATGCACATGAAAAAACTGAAAAAATATTGCTCACAGCTCGTAACTCTTTTCAGGAATTGTTATGCATATGGATTTCTCATTATGGATAGATATGCTCAATCCACAATGCATTTTCATGATTACCTCGATTGCTCACCAAGAGGTCTACAAGAAGTCAACTTTCCAGTTTGTTCTTTTATATATATTTGTAATACTGAGGAAATAACGGTTTTGTCTTATTTCATCAAGAGAGAACGCGACGAGGACATGGGTCGAATCCTTTTCATAAATTTCTTAAAGGACAAAAGACCAAAACAGATGCTACGTCAGAAGACCTCTTCTTCCAGTCTGGTAGCGAAGGAGTCGCCAAACAAACTCAGTGCCAATACGAAAGAGCGCAAACTCCAAACTCAAGGTGCCAGGAGTATCTGGTGGGAACTGTTGAAAGAGCAAGAATGCAATAAATATAATTTTCCCCCCATTGCGTTTGTTCTCTTAATTTTTTTTTATTTGAATTCGTTTCGAAACCCACGCGTACGGAATTTAGTGTAAGAAGCGTTATTTTGAACACATTTTCAATATCGCAGGAATCGTCTAAAGATCGGATGCGAATTATAATTTCCTATATACTCTGACTTGAAAATAAGAACAGCTTATGATATATATTTGATTAATACTCCTTTTAATATACTCTGATATAATCGTTCACCATCCAGTTGATTTTTTGACCACCCTTGAGGCGGCTGGTTATGCAGCTGTTAATGGCTCAAAGTATCAGTTCACTACGTGTAAGCCGGAGGTTTAAAAATAATTGCACGAGTGATTTTAATGTTCTAATATGCCACAAAAAACTTTAATAAATGATGAAATCATATTGGAAGCAGATTGGAAATGTATACGTGTGAATGAAAAGACGATAAAACGGATGTGAAAGACCATAAAAAACTTGAATTTGAAACAGCCCATTTGTCCATTGCCGCTGTTTAATGAAACTAGCATTGACTAAATTTTAATCGCATGAATTACGCATGAGATATATTTTCTTAAAAAAAGATGTACAAAGAAAAATAAAATGTATTTTTCTTGTATTCTAGCTATATAAATAAATTGCTAACGTGGCGAACATTCTCCAATTGCAGAATGAACAATTCTGAGTGGAGTGAAAGCAGCTCAAGCCAAGTTATCCAACGTCTGGTGAATTGAATGAATTGAATTGACTGAAGGCAGTTAATGCCTTATTTTAGTGTGAGACTCGGGCTATTAGGCCCGCTTTCCGTCTGACCACTCAAATTTCGCTAAGCTTCTTTCACCAACTACCAAGAGAAGAGTATTCTTGGGCGAGAAACTGGCGATTTTGAATTTAGCTCAGAGACGTCAATTTAGGCTTGAGGATCTTTTACATGTAAGTAAATCTTACAAACATGGACAGCCGGCTTTACTTCCCCTCCCGAAGGAAGCGTACGAAGGATTTGTTCGCTCTCCAAAAATCCACGGCTTCGATCATGTTTGAACCCGCCAACAACCAGTCCGGTACGCTAACCGTTTCACCATCGCCGCCTGCATAAATATGCTTCACTTTTCCGTGTTAATTACAACCCACGCCCACCAATTTGTTTGCGTCAGTGGGTGGAGAAAAAAACGGCCACTCAACCGTGAACCGCGTTAAGCGATATCCTTGTAATTGTGTCTCTCTGAGGAAATGATACCAAAATAGAAGGATACACCAAAAAACGCGTGAAAAGTTGATTAAGCTTTCTGGAAACGCGAGTTGTAAAATAACAGCAAATTTCCGTAAAAGGATCATGTCATATTTCCTTAGTGTACCAAAATTACATTCAACTAATGAACGCCATTAAATCAGCTTAGGCACAGCGTGACTCATTGAGGTTAGTGCTTTCAGCATACAATACGATCTTATTTACAGCTGAGAATGTCCTGAACATTTGTACTTATACACTTTCCTGAATTGAACATACAAATATCTCCAATGATCATAGCCTCTCCAAGTGAGCGAGGATTTATTTTTAAATGTAGTCCAAGAATGTAAGAACTAACATTCTGGAGAGTAATCAATTAAGTATGATACGAGAAATATCACAAAAGCTCCACAACAGGACGAAACTCACACAATACCGAAACTCTTGTACTCCAAAAGCCATCTGTTAATTAAGAAGATATGATAGTTACTAACTTTCCGGAGCAACTATCAGCGATAAGGGAGTGTACAACCCACCCAAAATCCAGCTAGGGATCGGGAATAAAATCACATATTTTATTGGACACACTTTTTAAAACAGTTAAGAAATAAATTGTTGAACTTTCACTGAAAATCTCTTTGAAAATACTGGTGATATACATATAAACATCATATTTCTTTGAGAATTATTTGGTATCGACATTGTCTTTATACCAAAACAATGATGCCACAATCAAATTCAAACATCTTAATATTGCGAAATGAGAAGATATGGGAACTGACGAGAGTTCTTGTAAACAGAACAACAACTTGGAATAACGGAACCATGACATCTCCTTGTGTAATATTACGTGCGTGCATCGATCGGTTTTCGAACATTAATAACAAAAGGTCCCATGTGATAAAAAAACATCTAAGGATATGCTGGCCTAGCGAGACACAGAAGAAGAAGCGTGCCCTTCGAAACTATAGAACTCTCCTCTCCACCCGACACCAGTCAAACGAGTCCAAGTAGTGGGAGAGATGAAAAGAATGCCACTTGAACGATCAACTAATGTCCCGTGCTGACACCCATTACTGTAACACAATCGCATCGAAGAGCATCGGAAATGTCAACAAGGAAAGAACACATTAACCTTGGTTAACGTGAGGAGAAGACTACCATAGGTGTTGTGTGCGCGCGCACCTATGACGTCATCATCTGCGTGGTGGAAATTTTTTCTTCTGGGCGGTTCAACTAGTTTCCAGGCCTTCAGGCTACAGCTTTCGTTTTCGCTAGACAACGATATATTTCTCTCCATCCGACTACGGTAGAGCACACGTGGATAAAGAAAAAGATAACTTACAAACTAGGGAGGCGGATGGGTAGGGGCAAACCGAACGGATAAATCCTCTCTTCTATCTTCTCTCTAGTTGTGTGCGCGGAACGAGAGCGTCGTGCGGTTGGGCGAAATGAGCGAGACGCCGGTGACGTTCAACCAGCTGCTCATCGCGATGGTGCGGGAGCGGCCGCCGCTGTGGGATGTGAGGAACCCCGCCTACAGAGACAAGACCATCAAGAACAAGCTCTGGGCAGAGATCGGGGGCATCATGCAGAAGAACGGTGAGTTGGTTGCGGTGGGCTCGATACTTGAGATTAATAGAGATTATGATCATGCATTTTGTAAGAAGGAGACTCTTAACTCCGCTGTTGGGGGCATGCTAGCTAATCAGACACACTTCGCTATAGCGTCATCACCGGATGAAAGAAGGAACTTCACCAACACCGTCTACACTTTATGGTTCGTAAGTTTACTCCGATTTACATGTAGTGGCCCTTCAAGGTCACGATCTGGAAGGAGATGGGGACACTCATCCAATCGGGAACTTCAATACCAAACTGTTAAGTCCTATCGAAGCTCCCAATTTGAAGAATGTCCCTTTCTCCTTCCAGCTCGTGACCTTGGAGGAACACTACGTTTAAATCGGAGAATAGGAATAGATGGGTTTGACTTGACATATAAGCTTGGTGGATCAAAAATGCCTTCAAACGTTCTCTCACTGGACTCGTGATGTCATTGAAGCTAAATGCCTTCGTTTATATTCCGAGTTTTACATTGTGGCACTGCAAGAGTATGGGCTGGACGCAGAGGGAGACTCCGTCATTCAATCCGAATCCTTGGTTACGTCTTAAATTTGTAGTATTGGAGCTCCCGATTTGGATGACAACGTCCCCTTCTCCTTCCAGCTCATGACCTGCCATTACATTAATAATCAAGTAAAAATCGGAGTATAGTTGCCGACGCTTTCAATATATTCGTTCGCCAAGGGACATGTGTCTCCTTGCAGACTTCATTAATACGAGTCATTTTATATCATGGTGGGAGAATATTTAAGAGTGATAGGCGTGCTATTGTTATTTCCAAAAGCATGGACGAAGGAAGGGGGGACGATGGGGGCGTGCCCCCCTGAAAACTTAGGAGGAAAGCCCGTAACCTTGCGGGACCAAGCATTTTATTTCCGCAAATAAGCTCAGTCTGGTTTGCTCTTTTTAAAGTGACAATTAGGAAATTATTGTACTTTTGTGGAAGAGGCTCTCTAAGACATCAGACAACTTTTTATTTATTTATTTACTTACGTCAAAAACAGTTAAAAACTATGTGTGACGTGCTAAGGGGAGAAGTTAATTTGAAGTTACATTTATGTCTAGAAGTAAAACAAGGGGCCATCACAGCATTTGCTGTGATGGCAAATTGCTCGCAATCAGGGAAACTGGACGAAAACGTGATCGAGATGGGGGTCGTTGACCCAGAAGCTGAAGTACAATACTTGTTACATGTTCTTTAAAATTATACAATCCAAATGGTATATGATACATTAAATTTCATTGTTAAAATTAATATTACTTTCCTCTTGGATGCTCGGTATAGTCTCTAATTGTATAGAAACAGTTGTGCAGCAGAAAATATTTTACTTGGGACTTAAACTTTTGTATCGAATTTAATAGTTTAATGTCATCTGGCAATGTGTTGTAAAATAATGTACATGTATTATTTGTGACTTTTTTGTAGTGAGCAGTTGATACTGTCACCTGATGAACATGATTACTACGTCGAGTGTTGTAGTTAAAGACAACGGCGTTTGCTGAAAATATATTCCAGCCATTGAGTAAGTCATTTTTGACAAAAACCGCTGATTCATATATGAAGAGACAAGGCAATGGTAAAATACCTAGATGAATAAAGAGATGCTTACAAGAATCACGTGGGTGTGGTTTACTTATTATTCGTACAATTCGTTTTTATAATCTAAAAATCTGGGAACTATAAGATGTATTTCCTCAGAATATTATACCATAACTCAGGCTGGGATGAACATTCGCGAAATATACACAACGAGCAGTGTGGAGGCTGACTGAATTTGAAAGAATTCTGAAAGCGTAGCATAAAGAACTTAATTTAATGTTCAATTCATTTAAATGGGCGTTCCTTTTAAGGTTTGACTGAATTGAAAGCCCTAAACATTTTGTTACCTTATCATCAGTCAATGGAACACCGTTCATTTTCAGTGAAGGAACACCAATGATGCTGTTCCATAACGCAACGCATGAATAGCAAATATTTAATCGGGGCGGGCTCTTCTTCTTGGCTTTGCTGTTGTATGACGCCAGTTGTGTCGCAAGCAATAGCACTCTGAATATGAAAATTCAGTCGGTATAGAGGAGTTACTCGGGGTTCAGAGGAAGGGACTACTTTAACAGGTCGGGAAACAAATGAACGTCATGCAGGGCGATGACAGTGCAAGAAATAGTGATGAAGCCATTTACAAATGAGCCAACTGTAAACGAAAGTACTGGCAAAATGAGTAACTTGCAGTTATATTGCCAGTAGTGGCTAAGCAGTAACTGTCAAAGCCGTCCCTTCTTACAGTAATCTCTCTACACGCAGGATGAGAATAAGTGGAATGAAACCATCATACACTTCCACTTTTTCGTCAAAATCGAAATTCTTTCATTCTTTTCGGCTTTTTTTCTGAGTTACTTAGCCTCCCACGAAACCACACACATCACTCACAAGAATGAAGACTGCAAATCGTTTCGTCAATTTATGCGTATATTCGAAATTAGTAATAATGATGAAGGTAAAATTGTAAAAAAACTCAAAAAAAAGTCGCTCAGTAAAGAAATGCCATTTTGATGGATTTAATGAAATAATTTTATGTTGGTTGCAGTGTGGCAAACACTTACGATATGAATGCACTAAAAATCGAGTGTAAAATAAATGAGAAGAAAACTTCATTCAAATTACTAAGAAATAATGGAGAAGTACCCGACTTTTCAGCAGGGGTGTCCAGAAGGGAGTGAGCATCTAAGCATTCTGGCCAGGCTATGACTGAATGTGATACCGATTTTTTTAAAATTAAAAATAAATAACGTATTACTTCTAAATCAAATTAACCGCCATAAGTTATTTGTATTGCGTGGAGAAAAGAATTCTGTTTGTGCATTGGGGGGAGGGGCCTTTTGTTTGAAATAAGGATGCCCTAGACCTCTTATTTTCTCTGGACGCCCTTGTTTTTAAGATTTAACTTGACTTCATTCTGCTTGCGATATGTGGTGATGACAAGCCTTTTCATTTTTACAGAATGGTGTTCCAGTGAAGACGATTTGAGAGCAAAATGGAAACACCTGAGAGATCGATACACGAAGTGTGTCAAGGATGACAACGGGTCTAATCAGCACGTGATTGGCAAAAAAGCGCCTTGGCCTTTGTTGCCTTACTTGGACTTTCTGAGAGACTCCGTCACTCATCGGTCGTAAGTATATTTCTTGTCAGCAGTGTCACGAAAGCAGAATGCGCTTGATTCTGTGGCTCCAATGTTTGCTGTGATATCAGTTCATAGTTTTCCAAAAATATTCATAGTTTTCCAGAAAGTTTCTAGACATCTATTCACCAGAGGACCACCAACAATTTCAAAAATAATCTGCGCGAAACTTTTTATGTTTTTGTACTAAATAACTTTGTAACTAAATAATTTTGTACAATTTTCCAATGAAAACTTGAAATATTATTTTTTCTTTTGTAATATTTGGTTTTACTTTTTATTTGTTAGTATCTAGTAGAATATAAAAATGCATTTGTGAATTTTGAATCAGACTTAACGCGTCAGCCAAAACCGAAAACAATCCCTGACATTTGCATCTTTCGTTTCTTCATTTCGGTTCGTGGCATCAAATTTTTTTGTGATCGTTGTGCTTACTTAAGGCATGCTGCCAAAGTAAGGCTGTCTATTTACTATTATTATTATTATTATTATTATTATTATTATTACTATTATACATGTAAAGCAAAAGCAATTGCTGTAAGATAAATACTTTTAATTCACTTATTAAATTATTTTCTATTCATATTATTTGACATCACAAAAAAAAATTAAAAAAGTATACTAGGCTGAGGGACACTCGAAATCAGACGCACAATATATAATAGTTG